ACATCGAAAAACTGAAAAATTGAATAAATGAAATAGCTTTAAAATCCAATAATTGAAAAATATGAAAATTCTATATTGTTTAAAATTCTCGTTACTACACATTTAAAATAAAAACTAGAAAAACTACAAATCTAAAATTGAAAAACGAAAATTGAAAATTAAATCGGAACATTGAAAAACCGAAAAATTAAAAAAATTGAGAAAATAATAAACCGAAACGAAAAATTGAAGAAATGAAAAATTCGAAAATCGAGAAATTGGAAAATTAAAAATTGAAAACTAGTGAAAATACAAATCGAAAATTTGCAAAAATCGAAAAATTGAGACATCCTAACATTGGAAAACCGAAAAACTGAAAAATTTTAAAATGAAAACTCGGGAGAGTTACATGTTGTTAAAATTAAAGAAACGAAAAAAATGAAAATTTTCAACTGTACAGAGTTCTTTTTTTGGGGAGCAACATCCATCTCAATTTTTATAAGTGGAACTCTGCAAAAATAAACAAAAAATATAGGTGTCACTAAAAAAAGTTGAATGTCGTAGATAATATAATACAAATGATGGTTAATAAATAATGTTTGATATATATTTTCGAAAAACCAAGGCAGTTACGACCTGGACTTTTTAATTGAAATTTATCCAATCACCCCTGGTAAGAATTTCATGATGTCATCTCAAAAGTGCGCTTGGTAAACGCTATTTAAATTGTATGCAATAACATGCTCGTATACTTGTTTATGAATCTGCCTTGATCTTTTACCGTAGACGTCAAGATTTTCGCAAGAAAATCCAAATTGCATCATCATATTTTATACTAATATATATAAGACCTCTAACATGTGGTGATAGAGGTCTCAATTTTTTTACACTGACTAGTATGTATAGTGCACGTGCCGGAATTGACATACGTGTCCTTGCTGAAATGTTGATCAGAACAGGCACCATTGTTTGACTGTTCACCCGATTTCTTCGCCAGGCCAAACAAAAAAAAACAATAACTGAGTGTTTCCGCAATATGTCTGCGAATCAAAGGCAGTGGCGGACTATGGGTGATTAAAATAATGATATATTAATGAATACAAAAACCAAGCTCCACAAGAATCTTTAAAAAACACAATCATATTTTTTTATTTCCCAATCAGTATCCGATTTTTTCTTCAATTTTTAGATTTTTCAGTTTTACCATTTTTTTAATGCGAAAAGTTGAAAAATCGAAAAATTAAAAATCGATAACTAAAGAATCACAAAAAATTAAAAAATCGAAAAACTGCAAAATCGAAAAATTGTTAAACCGCAAAAGTGCAATATCTAAAAATTGCAAATCGAAAAACTGAAGAAACGAAAAATTGAAACATTGAAAAACTGAAAATCGGGAAACTTAGTAGTCGAAAAAAATAATGAAAAGAAGAAAGAAAATTGGAAAGCATAAAAAACGAATGTATTCGAAAAATTGGAAAAGCAAAAATTGTAAAATTGACAAGTGTAACATTGAAAAATCGAATAAATGAAAAAGGGTTAAAGTCCAATAATCGAAAAATAGAAAAATTCTATAATCACAAAATTTAAAAAGTGAAATATAAAATAAAATATTATTACACGTTTATAATAAAAACTAGAGAAATTGCAAATCAAAAATTGAAACATCGAAAAACTAAAGTCGACTACTTAATAAAAAAAATGAATAGAAAATTGGAAAGAAGAAAAAACGTAGAAGAGAAAAATCGTAAAACCCAAAAACTGTAAATCGAAAAATAATTATAGATCGCCAAAATTGCAACGTCGAAAAACTGTAAACTGAAAAATTGCAAATCTAAAAAGCGAAAAGTACAAAAACTGAAAATTTTCATATCGCAAAAAAAGCAATATTATTAAATCGGAACATTGAAAAACCGAAAAATTAAAAAAATAAATACAATAAAAAACCGAAACGAAAAACTGAAGAAATGAAAAATTCAAAAATCGAAAAATTGTTCGATTCAATTGAAAATTGAAAACTGGTGAAAATACAAATTGAAAAATTAAAAATGAAAATTCGGAAGAGTTACATGTAAAATTAAAGAAACAAAAAATAATGTAAATTTTCATCTACACAGAGAAAAATAGAAAAATTCTATAATTGCAAAATTTAAAAAAGTGAAGTATTAAAAAAATTATTGTTATATACTTAAAATAAAAACTAGACAAATCTGAAATCAAAAATTGAAGAAACGAAAAATTGAAATATCGAAAAACTAAAAGTCGAGAAGCTTAATAAAAAAAATGAATAGAAAATTGGAAAGAAGAGAAACGTCAAAGCGAAAAATCGTAAAACCCAAAAATTGTAAAAACGAAAAATTATACAGTATGTCCCCGAATTGAGTTCACAAGATGGAAAAAAACTGTATTTTCTATTTTACAAAAAAATTACATAGCAATAACATTTTTTGCTTAATTCAAAACGAATAAATCTGCAATTAAAATTTCAATATTATCAGGCTGTGTCCTTAAAATCGAAAAAAACTAAAAGTAACGAAAAACTTAGAAATACGAAAAAATAATTTTAAAAGTACAGACCAGAAATTTTGAAGTTTTAATTGCAGATTTATTCGTTTCGAATTAAGCAAAAAATGTTATTCCTATGTCATTTTTTTGTAAAATACAAAATACAGTTTTTTTTCCTCTTGTGAACTCAATTCGGGGACATACTGTATATAGCCAAAATTGTAAAGTCGAAAAACTGTAACATTGAAATATCGAAAAATTGAATAAATGAAATAAAATCCAGTAATTAAAAAATAGAAAAATTCTATAAACATAGAATTGAAAAAGTGAAAAATGTTTAAAATTCTCGTTATTACACATTTAAAATGAAAACTAGTGCCTGCTAAGATAAGGGTGTTTTTGGCAAATGACATACCCCCTAAGAGAAGAGAGGGCGGGTGGGCGGGGTTAGTACTTGCTAAAATCAGTTTTACCTTAGCAGCTACTAGCCCCGCCCACCCAGCCTCTCTTTTCTTAGAGGGTATGTCATTTGCCAAAATCAGTTTTACCTTAGTAGCCACTAGCCCCGCCCACCCACCCTCTCTTTTCTTAGAGGGTATGTCATTTGCCAAAATCGGTCTTATTTTAGGGGATCTCATTATCCAAAATCAGTCTTATTCCCTCGAAGAAAAGAGAGGGTGGGTGGGCGGGGATAGTACCTGCTAGGATAAGACTTTCCAAGCAGGAGTATCTAAAACCTCAAGATTATTTTAAATTTTTCAAAAAAAGAAAAACGAAGTCCCAAGATTAGCCCAAAAACAGGTCAGGTCAGAATTTTCCAAAAATAGAACACGAAAGTTTCCCAAAATTGTTTTAAATAATTTACTATTAATAGATTACCAAGAGTCTCCCGAGTTAAAAAAAAAAAAAACAGTAAAAGCTCAAAAGATTTTTTTCAAGTTCATACAGCAACAAAACACCAGATTCCTTTAAATTGATCCGAAAATAAAACACAGGGGACCTAAAATTAACTGCGAGCATTTTAAACGTAGGGTTTTGAAAACTTTGACAATTTTTGATACGTCAAACATTTTTAACTGCTTACTCGATTTTTGCTGATTTGTACCTACACTCCAGACACCCGGTATATTAATGAATTCAAAAACCAAGCTCCACTAGAATCTGTAAAAAATACAATCATATTTTTATTTTCTAAGCGTAAGCTATTTTTAATGTATAGAAATAAAATCATATTTTATAATTGTTGGAAGACTGTACTCCAGGGGCGAGGGATGTTCTGCTTAAATACCCCTTCTTGAGTAAGCCTGTATAATGAAGCTTATTATTATTATTACCATTATTATTACCACACCATTGAAAACTACCGCGTCACTATTAATGATTGAAGCAAATTTTTGTGTTGGTAATTCTGAATTATTGGCAACCATGCTGGTATGTTAGTTCACAATTGTCAATTTTGACGCGAGCACGCCTAACAAATGTGGTGATTGGTTGAGACGATGACAGCTAGTGGATTGGTGTCATAAATGTTACTTTGACGATCAGGTGTGCCATTATAAAATTTGAAATATGTTGCCAACCTGACAAAAAAAATCAGGAACGTTAATAATCACTCGATTAAACGTATTAACAAATTAAATTGAACATATAAATATGAAAAAGTAGTATTAAATGTATCTGATAATTTCATTTTCACCCAGAAGTTGCTAATGCGTGCATGAACACAACGATTTTAATGTAATTAATATACGTCAAACTGCATATAACTGGATATTGTTAGAGCACTAATTACTTGTTGATTACACGTGAATACGGTGCAGTTAGAAAGAGGGTTGGTCGATCTTAGCTTAATTAACTGTTTGAAACTAAATTATGTCGTTGAAAGTTTATTGATTGTTGTAAGTCGAACTCTAAACCTAACCTAAGTTAAACTAAATTTCTAGTGTAAGATTTTTTCAAACTATTGTTGTGTTATTACACATACTTGTACAAATCCTATTTTATAACGTGTAAAATGCCACTTAGGTGTTGCGACAGCTGTAGGAGAATGTGAAAAATTAAAAAAAATCTCTGTTTTCCTTCCTGGTTTTAATAAAAATAACCATACGTTGATTTTTTATCATAAAACACCCCGCGTTCTACTTACTGAGGGTAAATAGTAAGATAACGACTTTAATAATTGTTTTTGTGGTCTTATCAGCCGGCATAAAGAATAAAAAAGGTCGTTCTTGAACGTTTCGTAGTTAGCTAGCTACATTTTCAACATTTTATTCCTGTTGCGATCATTTCAACAAGAACATTAAAAATAAATGTAATAACAACAGTTACAAAATAAAAATGACTATAAAACAGCCAACAAGGTCGATTTCTTGTACCAATTAGAAGCCAGTCATTGTCCACAAAGTGTTCTTTCCTCGTTTTACAATCCAGAACAAATCGATCCACTTCTCGCAACGACTCTTATGAACTTGAACAAGCTTGTTTTCACAGCCTGTACCCAACATACTTGTTATTTCCAGATTTCTGGATTTAATGGCAGTTAAAGAAGTCCACTTAGGAGGACGAGACGCCGAGAAAGAATCCGAACTCGCCACAGTAGCTCGAAGGTACGGCCTCACTCACGAACCAGGAAACGAATGCGCCCTCACTATCCTCTACGGATATGGCTTAAGCGATAACAGATTGCTCTACATCGTGTGTCCATCAGCTATATGCAGGTAAAGTAATCCAGACTTCACCCCCTCACGTTCATCCCTTACGGGAGCACTTCCACATTTTCAAGGAATTTCAAAACGGTTTTTATGTCTTCAGGGTGTGGTTTAGCGGTTTATGTTGGCTAATCCGAGGTCTATCCAGACAGAGCACGTTGTCAGACCGGCGACTCCTCTGGTTACGAGAACAATACATGCAACTGTATCACGAAGACGGATATTGTTGCGGTCCCTTAGCCGCCGACGCAATCAGGGTAAATCAAATACAGCATTCCTTACTTACCGTTTCACATTGATTCTTCATAGTCTTTTGGGGGCAGAGACTGGTCCCTTGCCGGCATGACAGGTACAAATCAACCTGGAGAGCCGTCGGGTGCTTTACGGAGGGAAGTTTCGATGAAAATCAAGAAGAAACAACTGCTGAGTAATCAAACGTTCAAAGTAAGGATTCGGTCTAATCAGGGGATTGTTGTTAATGAGTTGCTTAGGATCGCAGCTTGAGGAGTCAGTTCGTGGAGCCGACGACAATGTGTATGGAAAGCAGCTACTGGAGAAATCCCACGCACCACCGTCAATCCACACCCACGACTTTTCCAGATCATCAACCGGATGTCTCCAGACACCACAGTTTAGGTCAACTGGCGTACAACTCGTCGCAGCCCAAGTTTGACAGGTAATTGATTATTGATTACTTTGGTTCTTAAAAGCTTGTGCCTCTTGGCTTAATCTAATATAGTATAGTCAATCCGTCCAGCGATGGATTTTTGCACTCACTCCGGTAACACATGCTAGTCGCAGTGGACATTTACACCTAGCCGATTTTTGTAATCGAGTCCATTGGGCGGCTTGGTACTTTCATATTTTCTCGACGTTTCATGACCTCTAGACAGGGCAGTAGCCGAGGCTGAGGCTCCCCTAGAGAAATGTTTGCCTCCCTGGACCTAGACAACGCAATGTTTTATTTAATAAGCGGAGGTCGAAGCAATAAAAAAGTCTGGACCATCGCATTGTGATCCGGTTATTGCAATTCATAGAAAATATCGTTTAGTTTAGTTTCTCTGTTTCATTTTCACGTGCATAATTTCGACAAGCGTTATCGCTATTTGTCTTAAATTACGAGTACTTATAAATGTTTTTCAGTTCATTAGCACCTGTGCTACTAGAACACATGGCGACGAGATTAAATTGTTTCGTTATTTTATTGATTAAATCAAACATTCTTGAAGTCACTCCATTTTCCTGAAAATTTGGGAATACAGAACTCTCATCATTAGCAGTGTTATTATTAATAATGGAAAACTCACTTCAAACCGACGTGTAGCACACTTATTTACATTTACTTTAACGTATAAAAAAATCAAATTCGCAGAATCAAATCTCAGATAATTTTTCCAAAAATCTCGCTTTGTTTGCTTTCAACCTCTTTTTTAATTCTATTTCATTTTTCTTTTTTCAATGTTTCAGTTTCACAATTTTTCAATTTTACAATTTTTCGTGTTCTCGATTTTTAATTTTTCAAATTTTCGTTTTTAGAATTTTTTTATATCACAATTTTTCCTTGTTTTCATTTCCTTTATTTTTCCAAAATCTCTTTCGATTTTAGAATTTTTCATGTATTCCATTTTTCAATTATTCAATTTTCCGATTTCGATTTTCAATATTTCGATTTTACAATACTTCGTTTTTTCATTTTGCACTTTTTCAATTTTAAAATCTCGTACCTGGAGCATGCACTTCGACCTACAAACCAACCACAAAGATGGTCGGTTTTCTCGTTATTATCGTAAAGTATGCATAGCCATTTTTCTGACTGACGTTTCGATACATTTAGCAAACTCTGATACAATTTAATTTTGAAACATTTTTGTAATCCAGATTCAGGTGGAATCGGTATTTTGGGTTGCCTATTTTAAAAACATAAATGGGTCATCTTAGCTGAATAACCCTGTACATAAAAATTAAAAATCAAAAAATTAAAAAATTGGAAAAAATTAAAAAATCGAAAAATTGCAAATCGAAAAACTGAAGAAATGAAAAATTGGAACAACGAAAAACTAAAAATAAATAGAAATAAAAGAAGTCAAATAACTGTAATACTGAAAGATCGAAAAACTGAAAAGCGAATAAATGAAAAAGTTTTAATATCCGATAATTGAAAAATAAGTACAAATTCTGAAATCATAAAATTAAAAAGTGAAACATTTAAAAAGTTATTATTAATACATATTTAAAGTGAGAACTAGAAAAATTGCAAATCAAAGATTGAAGAAAAGAAAAAAAAACGAAAAATTAAAAAATCGAGAAACTGAAAAATCTAAAATTTAAAAAACCAAAAATTAAAAAATCGGAAAAAATTTAAACATCAATAAAAAACAAAAATTGCAAAATCGAAAAAGTGGAAAATCGAAAAATTGCAAATCGAAGAACTGAAGAAACAAAATCGAAACATGGAAAAACTAAAAGTCGAGAAACTTTGTATTCGAAAAAAATAATGAATAGAAAATTGAAAAGTAGAAAAAACGCCAAAGAGAAAAACCAAAAAATTGTAAAATCAAAAAATTGAAAAATAGAAAACTTCTAAAATCATAAAATTGAAAAAGTAAAAATTATTTTTATTACATGTTTAAAATAAAAACTAAATAAACTTGAAATCAAACATTGAAGAAACGAGGAATTGAAAAATCTAAAATTGAAAAAAGGAAAACCGAAAAATTGAAAATCGAAAAATCGTAAAATACAAAATTGAAAATTTTGCATTGCAAAAAGAAATATTACAAGATCAGAACATTGAAAAATCGAAAAATTCCAAAAATAAACATTTATTCTCTTTATTTTTGGAATTTTTCGATTTTTCAATCAACTGAAACGAAAAATTGCAAATCGAAATGAAAAATTGTAAAACCGAAAAACTGAAAAATCTTGAAATGAAAGAGTTGCATGTCGTAAAATTAAAGAAACAAAAAAATGACAATTCGAAAAATTACACATCGAAAATTTGAAGAAAGGATAAAGTGAAAAAATTAAAATTCAAGAAACAAGACATAAAATCGGAACATTGAAAAATCAAAAAATTGTAAAAATAAGGAAAATAAAAACCGTAACGAAAAATTACAAATTGAAAATTTGAAGAAATGAAAATTTGAAGAAACGAAAAATTGAAAAACTAAATATAACCAAAAATCGAAACGAAAAATTTAAAAATCGAAAAATTGAAGAAACGAAAAATTACAATTATTGGAATATCGAAAAATTGTAAAATAAAGAAAATAAAAAACCGAAACGAAAAATTACAAATTGAAAATTTGAAGAAATGAAAAATTGAACATTTAAAAAATTGAAGAAACGAAAAATTGAAAAAATGAAAAATTAAAGAAATCAAAAATTGAAGAATTCGAAAATTGAAGAAACGAAAAATTGCAATTTGAAAATTTGAAAAAATGAAAAATTAAAGAATGGACAAATTGAAGAAACGAAAAATTGAAAAAATAAATGTAACCAAAAACAGAAACGAAAAATTACAAATTGAAAAAATTGAAAAATTAAAAAATTGCAATTTGAAAATTTGAAGAAATGAAAAATTGCAATTTGAAAATTTGAAAAAATGAAAAATTAAAGAATGGACAAATTGAAGAAACGAAAAATTGAAAAAATAAATGTAACCAAAAACAGAAACGAAAAATTACAAATTGAAAAAATTGAAAAATTAAAAAATTGCAATTTGAAAATTTGAAGAAATGAAAAATTGAAGATTTAAAAAGTTGAAGATTTAAAAAATTGCAGATTTAAAAATTGAAGATTTAAAAAATTGAAGAAATGAAAAATTGAAGAAACGAAAAATTTAAAAATCGAAAAATTGAAGAAACGAAAAATTTAAAAATCGAAAAATTGAAGAAACGAAAAATTACAATTATTGGAATATCGAAAAATTGTAAAATAAAGAAAATAAAAAACCGAAACGAAAAATTACAAATTGAAAATTTGAAGAAATGAAAATTTGAAGATTTAAAAAATTTAAGAAACGAACAACTGAAGAAATGAAAATTTGAAGAAATGAAAAATTGAAGAAACGAAAAATTGAAAAAATAAAATCAGAACATTGAAAAGTAGAAAAATTGTAAAAATAAAGAAAATAAAAAACCCAAACGAAAAGTTGCTGTTTGAAAATTTGAAGAAATGAAAAATTGGAGAATCGGAAAATTGTAGAAACGAAAAATTGAAGAAATAAAAAATCGAAGAAACGGAAAATTGAAAAAATAAATAATACAAAGAACCGAAAAGGTAACTTTCAAATTGAAAATTTGAAGAAATGAACGATTGAAGAATCCGAAAAATGAAGAAACAAAAAATTGAAATATTCGTGAAACAAAAATCCGAAACGAAAAATTGCAATTAGAAAATTTGAAGAAATGAAAAATTGAAGAATGGAAAAATTGAAAAAACGAAAAATTGAAGAAATAAAATATTAAAGAAATAAAAAATTGAAGAAACGAAAGATTGAAAAAATAAATATAACCAAAAATCGAAACGAAAAATTGCAAATTGAAAATTTGAATAAATGAAAAATTGAAAAATTCATGAAACAAAAATCGAAAGGAAGTTTCAATCAAAAAAAAATGAAAAATTAAACCCGAAACTAAAAATTGAAGAAATGAAAAATTGAAGAAACGAAAAAATTGAAAAAATAAATATAACCCTAAACCGAAACGAAAAATTGAAAAAACTTTCAATTGAAGAAGTAAAAAATTGAAGAAATGAAAATTTGAAGAAACGAAAAGTTGCCAATTGAAAATTTGAAGAAATGAAAAATTGAAAAATTCATAAAACAAAAATCGAAACGAAAAGGTTCAAACCAAAAGAATTGAAAAATTAAAACCGAAACGAAAAATTGCAATTTACAAATTTGAAGAAATGAAAAATTTAAGAATGGAAAAATTGAAGAAACGAAAAATTGAAGAAATAAATAATTGAAGAAACAAAAAATTGAAAAAATAAATATAACCAAAAACCGAAACGAAAAATTTAAAAATCGTAAAATTGTAAAATAAAGAAAATATAAAACCGAAACGAAAAATTACAAATTGAAGATTTGAAGAAATGAAAAATTGAAAAATCGAAAAATTGGAAAAACAAAAATTGAAGAAATAAAAAATTGCAAATCAAAAAATTGAAAAATTAAAATCTTGAGAAACTCAAATCTAAAATTACTAAATTTAAAAACTGAAATATTTAAACTTTTCTAAAAACCAGAATTTGTTGAACTGCATATCAAGGAATTTCTATCGAAATAACCTTCGACCAATTTTTTTTACATTATTATTTCTGTCCCTTTTATATTAAGGCTAAAATTTTATGACGAAATTATATGAAGTTCTAGATAGGCCCGAGTGCAAATGACCTGTTCAAATTTAATAGCCCGAGGTAAAAAAAATTATGACTTGTTTATGATTGAGACCCGAGTGCAAATATCCTGCGCCCAATCCGTCAATATTGGTAGTAAAAGCTAAGTTTCCGAGCCGGATTGACTGTACTAACACTGTTATGAGAATCAAAAAGCTCTCAAACGCTTACCTATTGAACTTCTTAGTTTTGTTAGCGTTTTCCTACTTTCCGACTACTTCAAGCTTGAATTACTTTCAAACTACTAAATATAGTAAATCTAATCTAAATTGTAGCTTCGATTTTAAATTAACCACTATTGAAGAAGTGGCCAAAATAATAAATGACCTAAAATGTAATGCCTGTGGTTGTGACGATTTGTTGGCCGACACACTTATTTGTTGCCCGATTGTAGGTAGTCATAAAGGGTGAGTTTTAAAACAATGTCCTGATTTATTTTTACGTACCATGTAATCACAAAGTTATAAGCAAAAGTCAAACAAAACAATACAGGATTTCTGACTAATTAATGAAGCCCATAGCAAGTGAAAACAGTCACACTCTTTTCATTTTCTAAGGTCTTCCACGTCCAGCGATAAAATTGTGATTAGCTACTAGCTACCCTGAAACAAAACCTAACCTGTTTTGACTGGTTGTTTTTCCGCAGAGACCGGCACGGCTCGACGGAACACTTGTGGCACGGAAGGCATCCGAGAGTAGGCTCAATTCTTTACGATACTCAATTAGACTTCGTAGACTTCGTTACTCTTTTTCGTTCGTTTAGTTTATTAATTCGGAAAGATTTAAGAGATCTCTTCGAACAACTAGCAATATCTTATCGAAGCATGGCTGTGAATACTTCAACAAAAGTAAACGGTGTCAAAACAAAAGTCGAAGCGAAAAAAATGCAGAAGCTCGGTTTGCTGACGAGGAACAGTCGAGCCGAGCTCGAGGGGACCGTCGTCAACTCCCAGAAGAAGATATTCGACGCAATCGCTGCCGCAAGTATCTTCACCAACTGCGCCGGAATTGACACAAACAATTCGCAAGTGATCACGATGTCCACTTTCACCAAGTTTCTTGAGACCAGGCAGATGGAAGTTTGGACCGAGGAACAAGTCAAAGCTCTCATACATGTAAGTTCGGCGATTAGTTGCGACAAATCAATGCGACGAGTAGGCGTCTAATGCGACTGACGTCAAATTTCAATTCTTTTGCAGAGGCACGAATCGGACGCGACCCTGCGGGCCCAGAACTGCTTGTCCTTCGAGGGCTTCGCTCGTTACCTAATGGACAAAGATAATTACGCCTTTGTGAATGAACGCGAAGTTCCTAATGAAAGTGATATGGGTAGACCGATGTCGACTTACTACATAGCCTCCTCCCACAACACGTATCTCACGGGACACCAGCTGAAGGGAGAGTCGTCCGTCGAGCTCTACAGCCAGGTTTTGCTGACCGGCTGCAGGTGCGTGGAGCTGGACTGCTGGGACGGTGATGATGGCTTTCCCATGATCTACCATGGACATACTTTCACCACAAAGATCCCCTTCAACGCCGTCGTCGAGACGATCGATCGAAATGCCTTTGTTACTTCTCCGTATCCTGTGATCCTTTCGATAGAGAACCACTGCTCGCTGCAACAGCAGACCAGAATGGCCCACGTGTTCCAGAGGGTTTTTGGAGAGAAGTTGGTTACAAATTTCTTATTTGAAACTGACTATAGTGATGAACCGTCGTTGCCTTCACCAGAACAATTAAAAAATAGGATTCTTATAAAAAATAAAAAGTTAATAATGGAAGTGCCTGCGCCGTTAAGTTTTACAGCGATGTCTACGCCTGGCAGGTAGGGATTTTGTTAATTCCGTTGAAAGGGGGCGTTGCTCTCATTAAGGAACAAGATAAAACAATCCATAGCCGTTCGACTGCGAAATGATCGTTCGTGGGTTGTTTTGTAGATAGCCAACAAATTTCTAAAGCTTCGTTATTCCCTTTTAGTTGTGATCGCTCCTACCTTAAATTTTCATCAAACTCTTTGATCACCTCCTCCGCACACACTTTTAGTTTGTACTTTTGTTTGATACCAGCTTTACATCTTTTCGTTGACAATTGTATAGTAAATCCCTTTGTCTTCTTCCTCTCTTAAAGCTTTATACCTCCAATCAATTGTGTCCATCCATTTTATATAGACTCCCTATCAGTACGCCTTTTTACTTTCTGAGCGTAAGCTATTGTAACCGAGTCCATTGGACGACTGCCTACTTTTATGTTTTCTCGATGTTTTATGACCCCTCGAGTACGAAAAAATAGGTGCCCCGTTTTCGTCTGTCTGTTTGTCTGTCTGGCATCTGTCCTGATTTTTATTAGAGAGATAATTAGACTGTAAAACGCTAACCAAACATGGGGTTTATATTTTTAGTCTATACATTTAGATTTTTGAGGAAAAATTCAAAATTATATTTTACAATTTGAAATAGCAAAAACTGAATGCTGTGAAATCTTGCAAGTATTTTAAGATTATTGGAAGCATGGTAAATCGTTAATCAAAATTTGTCTGTCATCTTACAATTTTGCCGAAAAAATGTTCTTCAAATTGATCGATGTCTTTGGGAAAAAACTGAGTGTGGTTAATTAATTATCCAGTTCTCTCTTCTGCGTTGAGGAGATAAAATCAAAGTTCATTTCCTTTTAACCGATTGTCGATTGTACTTGTCGAATTTTTTCGAAATATAAACATGAATAGTCGAAGTTAAGGAGGTACTAAGAAATTGAGAATAACTACATGTTTTCACACTAGTTATCTTTTTTACATATCTGTTTTGTAGAGACATAAGGATTTTGCAATTAAGCTTTGCCCCTCTATCTGACAACAAATGAAAAATTCATCAGATTTGAGATAGGGTGGGTGGGCGGGGCTTAATCATTCACATCATTTTCTTAACGTATATAGTTTTTTTCAACAACACGATACTTCAAACATAATTCTAATCTCAAATTCATGCTTTTTTTGATATTTTTGATATTTTAAGTATTTTACTCTTTGCGTATTTTTTCGGATTCTGTTTAATTCTTGTCAGATTTCCTTGGATTCTTTCGCATTCATCCAGATTTTTTTAATTCTTTCGGATTCTTTTATGTCTTCTTAAGATTATTCCGGATTGTCTCCTATCTTATACGAATGCCTATCTGATTTCGGGTTTTTTCCGATTCTCTCGTATTCTTTAGGATTTCTTGTGTATTATTGTTTCGCATTCTGTCTAATTCTTTCGGATAATTTCGAATTTTTTCAAATTCCTTCCGTTTATGTTGCATTCCTTCGTATTATTTCCGGTTTTTTTTTTAGCTTCTTTCTGACCTTGACTGAATTTGGCCGATTCTCTTAAACTTTCTTATATTCTTTCATATTTTTTCGGATTCTTTGCGTATTCTTTAAGATTCTGTCAAATTCCCTGCAATTGTTTTCAAATTCTCTCTAGTTCACCCGAATAGTTATAAATTCTACCAGATTTTCTTGGATCCTTTCATATTCTCTCATATTCTTTTGGTTCTTTTGTATTCTTTGGGAGTCTGTTCGTGTTCTTCCGGATTCTCTCGGATTTAGGATTTTTTCTAATTGATTAAATCAAGAACCAAGAACCGCTCACTTCATTTTCCCAAAAAAGTTTGGAAATACTTACAATAGTACTGTTATTTTTCAGTGGCCATTTTACACTAAATAAAATAAGTAAATGAAATGGAGAAAGGAGGCGGGCGGGGCAACATTTAGGCTTTTCTCTAGTGTTATGAGCAAGCAGTAGCTCCAACCAACCACCCACCCACCCCTTCTTCATTCCAGTGACTACACTTGCTATTGTTCAGTCCTATCTCAGCAAGCTTTAGCCTCGCCCACCCACCCATTTTTTCTTAAAGGATATGTCATTTACAAAAGTCAATCTTATCTTAACAAGTACTAGTCCCGCCCACCCACCCTCTATTTTCTTAGAAGGTATGTCTTTCACCAAAATCAATGTTATCTTAGCAGATATTAGCACCGCCCACACCCGTTATTCTCATTCTAACGATTTTATCTCTCTTCAATTGAGATCCACCTTCCATTCGGACTAGACAAAATGAATCACTGAAATGGAGGCGGGGTGAATTATATGTTAAAAAAAGGCGTTAATCGTAGTTTTTTTGTAATACTACAACATTTATTTGTTAGATATTTCTTAAGCAAAAAATGAGAGAACGGGTGGGTGGGCGGGGCGAAGTTTAACTTTTTCCTACAGAATCTTTTATAAGAAAACAATAGCCCCGCCCACCCACCCTGTCTTCATTCTGGTGATTACTCTTAATATTGTTCAGTCATTTACCAAAATCAACTTTTCACCATTTTTTTTAAGAATGTAAAACTTCGGGGGTCCCAACTGTCTTTTTTAAGATGTAAAACCTCCTCGGGGGCGCCAAATGTTTTTTTTTAGAATGTGAAACCTTCTCGGGGGCCCAAATGTGTTTTTTTTTAATCTGAAACCTTCTTGGAGGTCCCCCCAACTGACCTTTTTTAAAGAAGGCGAAACCTTCAAAGGGCTCGGAACTGTCTTTTTAAAAATCTAAAACCTTCTCGGGATCCCCAAATGTCTTTTTTTAATGTGAAACCTTCTCGGGGGCCCCAACTGTCTTTTTTTAAAATGTAAAACCTTCTCATGTAAAACCTTCTCCGGAGGGCCAAATATCTTTTTTCGGAATGTGAAGTCTTCTCGGGGGTCTCAACTATTTTGTTTTAAAAATGTAAAACCTTCTCGGGAGCCCCAAATGTCTTTTTTTTTAATGAGAAACCTTCTCGGGGGCCCCAACCATCTTTTTTTTAAATGTAAAACCTTCTCATATAAAACCTTCTCCGGGGGGCAAATATCTTTTTTCAGAATGTGAAATCTTCTCGGGGGTCTCAACTATCTTATTTTAAAAATGTAAAACCTTCTCGGGATCCCCAAATGTCTTTTTTTTTATGTGAAACCTTCTCGGGGGCCCCAACTGTCTTTTTTTAAAATGTAAAACCTTCTCATGTAAAACCTTCTCCGGGGGGCCCCATCTGTCTTTTTTTTAATGTAAAACCTTCTCGGGGGCGCCAGATGTCCCCGAACGAATTTGAAATCATCTTGGGAGTCTCAACTATCTTGTTTTAAAAATGTAAAACCTTCTCGGGGGCCCCAAATGTCTTTTTTTTAATTGTAAAACCTTCTCCGGGGGCCAAATATCTTTTTTAAGAATGTGATATCTTCTCGTTGGTCTCAAATCTTGTTTTAAGAATGTGAAACCTCGGGGGTCCCAACTGTCTTTTTTAAAAATGTAAAACCTCCTCAGGGGCGCCAAATGTTTTTTTTAGAATGTGAAACCTTCTCGGGGGCCCCAACTGTCTTTTTTTACGAAAAAAAAATCAAAGTATAAACCCTACTCACCCGCCCCATCTCAGTTGCGATTAATTTTTTAATTCGTCGTGAGACGGTGGGTGGAGCTTAAATGCAGAGTACATATTTCTCTACAAGAAATTACCATATGAAATATGTTTTAAGTCCCGTGTTGTTTGTTGAAAGACAACTGCACATACTAAGAAAAAAAAAATAAAAAAAGGCCCACCCACCCGCCCGATCTCAATTGTGACGAATTTTTTATTGGTTGTGAGATCGAGGGGCAGAGCTTAAATGCAAGGTCCATATGTTTGAGTCATGATCGTATTGTAGAAAATACTATTGTGACAAAAAGATTGGAAATGAAAATGTTCAATCTGTCAAAAGCAAAAGCAGAAGCAGATCGAGAGAAAAAGAACAAAAATATACAAAAAAAAAAAATTTGTGATTTGTTGTCATTGTCGAAGGTAGTACATGCCCTCAATTAAAAATCATCAAGTTAAAAAAATTTAAATATAAAAATTGAAAATCTATAAACGACAAAATCGTAAAACTGAAAAATTCAAAAGTTTAAAATAAAAAAATTCAAGAGTCAAAAATTGAAAATATGAAAAACTGTAAATCAAAAAAATGAAAAACGACAAATTGAAAAGAATGTGAAACCTTCTCGGCGGTCCCAAATGCCTTATTTAAGAAAATGAAATCCTCTCGGGGGCCCCAACTATCTTTTTTTTTTGAAGGTGAAACCTCAGGGGCCCTAACTGTGTTTTTTAAAAATGTAAAACCATATCGGGCGCCCAATTGTCTTTTTTTTTAAGGAGATGAAACCTTCTCAGGGGGCCCAACTCTCTCTTTTTTAGAATGTGAAACCTTCTTGGGAGGGCCAACTGTCTTTCTTTTCAGTAAGGTGAAACCTTCTCGAGGATCCTATCTGTCTCTTTTTTAAGAAGTTGAACCCTTCTCATGGGTTCCAACTGTCTTTTTTTACAAAAGATGAAACCCTCTCGAGGGACCCCAACTGTTGTTTTTTTTTAAGAAAATTAAACCTTCTCAGGGCACCAAATGTCTTTTTTTAAGAAGATAAAACTTTCTCGAGGATTAACTGCCTTTTATACCAGAATGTGAAACCTTTTCGTGGATCCCAACTAGCTTTTTTAAGAAGGTGAAACCCTCTCGGGCGCGCCAACTGTCTTTTTTTTTAAGAAAGTGAAACCTTCTCAGGGGACCTAACTCTCTCATTTTTAGAATGTGAAACCTTCTCGGGTGCCCCAACTGTCTTTTTTTAAAGAAGATGAAACCTTCTCAGGGTGCCCAACTCTCTCATTTTTAGAATGTGAAACCTTCTCGAGTGCCCCAACTGTTTTTTTTTAAGAAGATGAAACCATCTCAAGGTTTCCAACTGTCTTTTTTCGAAGAAGATGTAACCTTCTCAGGAGGCTCAACCTTCTCTTTTTTAGAATGTGAAACCTTCTCGGGTGCCCCAACTGTCTTTTTTTAAAGAAGATGAAACCTTCTCAGGGTGCCCAACTCTCTCATTTTTAGAATGTGAAACCTTCTCGAGTGCCCCAACTGTTTTTTTTTAAGAAGATGAAACCATCTCAAGGTTTCCAACTGTCTTTTTTCGAAGAAGATGTAACCTTCTCAGGAGGCTCAACCTTCTCTTTTTTAGAATGTGAAACCTTCTCGGGTGCCCCAACTGTCTTTTTTTTTAAGAAGATGAAACTATCTCAGGGTTCCCAACTGTCTTTTTTTAAAGAATATGAAACCTTCTCAGGGGGACCAACTCTCTTTTTTTAGAATGCAAAACCTTTTCGGGGGTTTCAACTGTCTTTTTTTACAGAAAACGAAACCTTCTTGGGGGCCCCATTTGTTTTTGTTTTTGAAGAAGGTGAAACCTTCTCGGGGGTCCCGATTTTATTTTTTTAAGAAGGTAAACCCTTCTCGGGGGACCCATCAGTTTTTTTTTAAGAAGGTGAAAGGTTCTCGTGAACCTCAACTGTCTTTTTTAAGAATGTAAAGCCTTCTTGGGGGGGCTAGCTGTCTTTTTTTTTTTTCAAGAAGGTGAAACTTTCTCGGGGCCCCCAATTCTCTTTTTTTTAAAGAAGCTGAAATCTTCTCGAGAGCCCCAAATGTCATTTTTTTAAAGAAGGCGAAACCCTCTCGAGAGACCCCAATTGTTTTTTTAAGAAGGTGAAACGTTCTCGGGAACCCCAACTGCCTTTTTTTAAGAAGATGAAAGCTTCTCGTGGGCTCCAACTGTTTTTCCACAGAAGATTCAACCTTATGGAAGGCCCCAATTGTCTTTTTTTGAGACGATGGAACCTTGTGGGGACTCCAAGAGTTTATTTAAGATGGTGGAACCTCGTAGGGCCCAACTGCCCTTTTTTACGGAAGATGTCCCAATTGTCTTTTCTTAAGAAGATGAGACCCTCTCGGGGGCCCCAATTGTCTTTTTTTTAAGAAGGTCGTGGATCTCAAATGTCTTTTTTTTTAAGAATGTAAAACCATCTTTTTTTTAGACTATGAAACCTTCTCGGGGCCCCCAACTGTTTTTTTTTTTAAGAATATAAAAACTTCTTGGGTCTTTTTTTCTCAGAAAGAAGTAAAATTTCGCAAAATAAAATGTCACTCCTACTATTTTTCAAAAAACTGGATTTGTTGGACTGTACTTCAGGGGCGAGGGAAGTTCTGTCGAAATAACTTTCGACCAGTTTTTATTTAATTTGCCTTGTAATGTTATTTTTGAGTCACATGACGCCACACTTCAAACTTCATCAAATCTAATACCCTAATCTGGATTATTTTCAAATTCTCCAAAAGTCCATCTATTTGCAGACCTGGTTCGGGTATAAGGCACTCAGTTCCCGGTCGGACCAGTTCAATAATCAGCAACACCAGCAGTAGTTCCTTCAATGACGACTTCAGCGATGACGACTACGACGATGAAGATGACGAAGACAATATCGACGGTAAACCCCCACCTCTCCCCAAACCCCATCTAACTCACCTCCTCTTCCAGAAAAAGCAATCCACGGAATCTTGACCGCCAACGAATCCCCGCGCCCCTACGGCGTCCCGCACACCGTCTCCAAGACCAGTTCGACCAAGCGCGCCGCCCCCGACGACAAGATGAAGAAACGCAGCAGCCAGATCTCCAAAGAGCTCTCCGACATGGTGGTCTACGTCCAAGCCATCAAATTCCGCGGCCTCAACACCATCAGCCCCAGCAGCTCCGTCAAGCAGAGGCAAAGAGCGTGTCTGTCGAGCTCCGGCAGTTCCATCGTCACCACCGGAAGCAGCTCGGCTTCCAATATTAGCTCGTCGGGGATCTCGTCCAACGAGTCCGAAATCACCATCTTCGAGACGGAGATGAAGCAAGCGCGGCCGAACGTGAACCTCCCGTGCTACCAGTGCTCGTCTATCAACGAGAACACGGCGAAGAGGTTGTGCAAGAGGCAGCCCCAGGGGGTGGTGGCGCACACGCAGACGCAGTTGATGCGGACGTACCCGGCGGGGATGAGGATAGATTCGTCGAATTTCAACCCGGTGATTTTTTGGTCGTTCGGGTTGCAAATGGCGGCGCTGAACTACCAGACGGACGACACACCCATGCAGTTGAACACCGCGATGTTTGAACAGAACGGGAGGGCAGGGTATGTGGGGAAACCCAGCGTCATGTGGGATAGGTCGCACGTGATGTATAGGAGGTTCAACCCGTGGGATAAGGAGTTCGATGGGTTGCATTCGTCCCAGATTGTGATTAACATAGTGTCAGGGCAGTACGTGAGTCAGAGCAACGTCAACTTGAGTACTTACGTGGAAGTAGAGATTATTGGGATACCTGTTGACTGCAATAAGCAGAAAACGAAGATCGTGCAGAAGAACGCCTTAAACCCGATTTGGAACGACACGTTTCATTTTCGAGTTCTGTTCCAGGATTTGGCTTTCTTGAGGTTCACCGTGATGGACGTTACTAGTAATCATTTATTAGCACAGAGGATTTTGCCGTTGAAGTGTCTGCGACCTGGGTATAGACACCTCCGGTTAAGATCCCCCCAGAACAAGTATCTCAACATGTCGACTCTCTTCATCTACTCCCGCGTGGAGGAAGAGAGTCTCGAGAACTCGGAAACGCGAGACGGCATGGAGAGGAGCCAACCAGAAACCGAACCAAAGATTCAAGTCGACCCTAGCGCCGACAGCACGTACTTAGGGATCTCGGGGACGCCACTCTGCGTCAAACGACGCATGTTCTTTCTCATGGTCTACGGCGTCGTCTCCGAGGAACCCTACACGATCTTGAAGATCACACAAGAGTCGACTACTCAAGACGTCCTCTCGCTGTGTTTGCAGAAGGCTAATATCCCGACGAACAAAATCAATGACTACATTCTCGTCGAAGAGGTGGCACGGAGTTGGGAGAAGAAAGACCACAACCTTCCAGCAACCCAGCGGATTCTGGATCTTCACGAGCGTCCTCTCCAAGCGCAGTCCCAGTGGAAGGGCGAGGGTCGCTTCATCCTCAAACGTATGGGTGACGACCCCAGTAGTCGAGCCTGGTTGTCTTCAATCCGCAGCGTCGCCAACCGGGAACGAGAAGCCCGCAAGTCAGACGGAGCCCCTAGTAACGCCTGGGAAGAAAACGATACTTTCCTAGTGTGTATATATAACGTGTCTCCGGAGATTCCTTACGCTATCTTGAAAGTACCGTTGAATGCGTGCGCTCAAGACGTTCTTGCTCAAGCTCTAGTCAAGGCTCGGCGCCTGGAAGACCCCATGAACTTCGCCGTAGTCGAAGAACTGGAATGGGGTGGTGCTAGTCATAACATCCAGCAGCGCCGATTAGCCGACGACGAGAACGTCTACAGCGCGCAGAGCCACTGGCAGACCATCGGTAGATTCATCATGCAGGAGAAGTCTAGTCTTTCGACGCCCACTTCGCTGCGTAAGAACCGCATAACCTCCAGCTTGAGGCTGGCCACTCTGGATCGCATCAGCCGCGGTTTGAACGTCGCGAGGAGTGTCGCCACGAACAGTATTAAAGTGCCCGTGCAAGTCGCGCTCAGTGACCCTACGACTTCCAAGTGGAAGAACAAGAGTGCCGAGGAGAGGAGCAAGGCGGTGCCGCGGGCCAAAGTGAACTCGGAGAAGGACACCGCCGTGACGGCGGGCTCGCAGAAGCAGCAGTGCCAGAGGGAGGTGCACTCGGAGGGAGAGACTCTGAGTGACGAGGACGGGAAGGAGTCGGATCTCATGGCGACAGTGTCGCGGTTGAAGAAGGTTTCGCTGAGGAAGTTCAAAGAGTGGAAATCATGACTTCTGGACTAACTTTTAGTGCGTTTTTATTAAATACTTTGACACTGAAGTGTTTGTATTCTTACAGCTTTAATGAAATAGGGTTGTTAGATGTAGCAACATAGATAGTGTTAAAGTTTGTATTCTACAAAATCTATTTTGCTACTACTTATTTTGTGTTTGTTACGATTTTGGCACTTTTCATTCGAAGTGAAACGATGTGGTTTGAGCTGCAGCTTGACGCTGGCACTTTCTTTGTACTTATATTGTCGACTAAAGTTGTACTGGGAATTTTACAGTTAACTGTTGATTTTAGAGGCTTGTATAAATTGTTCTTTACAAGTTATGTTGAATTTGTTTTGTTTTACTAGCTCTGTTGAGAGTTAACTACGACCCCATCAGTCTTGTCATGTAAGAGCATATCTCAAATATATAGTTTGCCTTGATGACGATTTTTGTGATGTTATTAATATGTTCTAGAGTTTATTATATAATTTATTGAAATAATTTTATTGTTATTAATATAATAGTAAATTAATGATGATAGCTAATTATTATTAAAGATGATGAACTATAATACCTACTTAACTAATGGAAAATGTACTTATAAAATTGTCTCTATCATGTTTCTCATATCTCTTGACATATTTATTGACTTCTTAAATTACTAATTTCATTTCACATATCCCAAAGATCAACTTGCAGTATTGATACATTTATAATAATCGTTCTTGTACCATATTTGCATTAACATTGATGTAATTTATAAAATATATCATATATACATATACGAAAATATATATACTGTTACTTTGTAGTACAAACTTGGAATGATTGTTTTTACGTAATATTGTTATATTTAACGATTTATAAAATATATTGCGTTCAAAAAATTTTTCTTTTTTTTCGTTTAGTTATATTTAGAGAAGTAGTTAATATCAAAAACGATCTACTGTGATTGAAGATTTTTTTTACCTTAACTAACTTTGTTGTGTCGTAATCCATAAACAAAACTAAAATAATTTCCAGTTTTTCAAAATCCTAATAAAAGATAAAAGTAGCAGGTGTTTTGTGTGGTTGAAAAGCACAAGTAAGAAGTACCAAAAGGGACCTTCCTCTTGTTTCTCGTTGTCATCGCTACTGTAGGTACAATCCATCGAAAATCGAGACGGTACAGTCCAAACTTTAGCGACATAGTGACCTTGAGACACATTTAATTGAAATGGAGTCTACATTTTATTTTTATTATTATGTAAAATCATGTTTCATTCTAATTTATTTAGTTTTATTAAGATTCGAATTAGTATAAACAAACGTTGAAAAGAGAAGTGTAAAATTTATCTCTATATCTAAAAAAAATGTAAACCGCTGTCGCCCATTGAAAATCTGCTTTTCCTCACCTACACCTGTAAACAAGGCCTTACGCAATGCTTCTAAACTTAAGTCTACACCTAATTTAAACGGAATCTTTATCTCATCTGACAAAACTCCAATGCAAATTGCTCTCTACAGAAACACTAAAGCTGAACTCAATACTCGACTCGCCAATGGAGAACAGAATCTGTCACTCAAATATAGAAATGGAATTCCCACTATTATATCTGCTAGATCTTTAAACTGACTTTGCCCAATAGTACTTCTGATAAACTCTATATTTATTACCAAAATACCCGTGGCCTACGTAGTAAAACTCATACCTTTTATGTTAACGCATGTGAACTTTTCTATGATATTATTGTCGTTACTGAATCATGGTTAAATGCATCGGTCAAAAATAGTGAACTTTTTCCTTCTGAATATAGTGTCATACGTTGTGACAGAAAATGTAACTTGACTAACAAATCTGATGGTGGTGGAGTCATTGTCGCTCTTTCTAATAAAATAATCTTTGAAGTTCAAACCATGAAGGAATTAGCTGACTTGGTACCAAAAATTGATTTTGTTTTTTGTAAATGTTCTCTGAATAAGTTTGTATTTTTTCTCATTGTTGTTTATATACCGCCTGATCTACCCATTGCCAATTATGAAGCATTTCTTGAAGCTTTAGAAATATTCCTTATTAGCAAACCGTTTATACTGATTGGTGATTTCAATATTCCCACTTATAACAAACATTTCAACACATGTCCCAAACTTCGAATACTACAGAATCTGTCTAATTCACTTGATGTTGTCCAGCACAACAATATTCCTAATAATGATGGAAAACTGCTTGACTTAATTTTTTCCAATCTAAAGCGTCCAATGGTTGTGGATCATGCTAAATATCCTTTTGTTAAAGAAGATTTTTATCATCCAGCTTTGTCAGTTTCTATTGATTTGGAAAATTCTGATAAATTCATACCATTTCCAGCAGTAAATAGTGATCGTTTCAACTTTCGCAAAGCTAATTTTAATAAACTCTATGACGATCTGTGGTGCACTGATTGGTCATCTGTAACTAAATGTACTCATGTGAATCAGGCTGTTAAAACTTTTTATGATCTCCTGTATTCTACTATTAAATCTTCAGTCCCATTTTGTACCAAAAATCGCTCCACTTTTCCTCCATGGTTCACGGCTGATATTATCTTTAATTTAAAACTTAAGCATAGGTGCCGAAGAAAATGGCGTGTCTCTGGTAGCGTAGTTCACCTTAATGAATTTAAAAGATTGCGTAGCTATTGTAAATCACAGATATCCCTTGCGTACAGTAACTACATGAGTAAGATTGAACAGTCGATACTATCAGACCCGAGAGAAGTGTACAAGTATGTTCAGATGAAGAAAGGAATAACGCGAATACCGGGAATAATGTACCATGAGAATCTAGCATATGAGTCACCGCAAGAAATTATTAATGCATTTGCCTCCTCCTTTTCTGGTATATTTACTTCTGGGTCTAATGTGGATTATGAAGATGTGCATACCAATCGCATTTGTTTCGACCTCCAATCCGTAACTGAGGATGAATTGATTCAAATCATGGCTCGTTTTCCACTCAAGCATACAGCTGGAGATGACCAAATCCCAAGCTTTCTCATACATGATGCTCAATTTGCTTTAGCAAAACCGCTATTACATATCATCAATCTAGCTATATCTTCGTCAACATTTCCAACTTTTTGGAAACGCGCAAAAATTGTTCCAGTCCACAAAAATGAAGACAATACACTTCTCAAAAACTATCGACCCATAGCCATCCAATCAAATTTTGCTAAGATCTTTGAGAAAATTATTTATAGAGCTATTTTCAACGGGACGCATCGGTATATCTCTCCAAATCAACATGGTTTCATGCCACGTAGATCCACCTCAACCAATCTGATAACTATTACACAGTTTATTTCTGAAGAACTGGATAGAGGAAGTCAAATAGACGTTATATATACCGACTTCAGTTCTGCTTTTGACACGGTTGATCACAAGATATTATTGAATAAACTCAGTGCGTTTGGTCTTGCGACATCTTTCATTAGACTAATTGATTCATATCTTTCGCACAGGATAAACTACGTCTTCTATAATGGTTTTAAATCCAATGAATATGTATCAACTTCTGGGGTCCCTCAAGGTTCAAACTTAGGCCCCCTGTTATTCGTATTATATATTGATGACCTGATTTCAAGCTTAAATTGCAACACGCTTGCCTTTGCTGATGACCTTAAAATTTTCTCTCGCGTCATGAATCTTGAAGATGCCGAAGAGTTACAACTGAATTTGGACAAAATTAGTGTATGGTGTACTCAAAACGGTCTGAAACTTAATCGGGATAAATGTAACTTTGTTAGATATACTCGTAAGGTAAATTATTTTTCATCTTTGTATAACATTGATGGTGTTGTACTAAACTCTGTTGATAAGATAAAAGATCTTGGGGTACTATTTGATTCGAATTTAAGTTTTTGTGAACACAATGACAGGATTACTTCCGCTGCTTCTAAAACCTTAGGTTTTATTATGCGTGTCTCTGCTAATTTCAAAAACATAATGCTATTTAAGGTATTGTATTTTGCCTTGGTTATAAGTAAACTAGAGTATGCATGCATTGTCTGGCAACCTTATTATTTGAATAGACAGTTAGATATTGAAAGAATTCAGCGTCGGTTTCTCAAGTATATTTCGTTCAAAATTCATGGTGTATACCCTGAGAGGAATATCAGCTATGATGCATTGCTCCAAGAGCATCATTTTAAATCCTTGCTTGAGAGACGAAACTACTTAAATGCTCGATTTATGCATAAACTTATTCATAATGAAATTGACTGTGTGAATCTTCTTTCTAACGTTAATATTTATGTTCCCCGCATATCCTCAAGACATTCAGCAACGTTTTATTTACCAACACCCAAAACTAACTTGTTACGAAAGGCGCCAATTACTAATATGTGTCGGTCTGCCGACAAATTCTATGATGATATATTTTTTGGAACCAATTAATCTTATTTAATGAAATATTGCTAGATAGTTGTTATGTTTTTTGTTCATAAGGTAATTTGCATTACAATTTAATTTATTTATTTATTTATTTATTTTTAGGGAATCTTAATTATATAATTGCATTATTTACTTAGTTTGTTTGTTAAAAACTGCTTGAAAGTATCACATTATTGTTTAATTTAGTTTTATTTAGTTTACTGTTTTACCATATTATTATTTTTATTATTTCGTTAATTCTTGTGTTGTTACTTTAACTTAATTTGTCCTCTAAATGGAAATTCTGTTGGGCAATAAAGACATTATTATTATTATTATTATTATTAATACTCGGAAATGTAATGAGACGTAGATATGAATTCGGAGAGAAACAGTCCCTTCTAAAAAAAACTCCTTAGAAATAGACGACCCTTAATTTATAAAAAAGTAGTGATAATAAAAAAAATAAATTCAAATTTGCTTATGCAACCAAAAATACACGTGTGTTAATGCAACATCTCTATATATAAATTTATATAAAAATCCGCCACCTTCAAAATCGCAGATACGTAGCTTAAATGAAGTTATTGTTGTTAAACAGAACAGGAATTTATTTGATTTATTTTCTATACCGTCTATTATATTATTCGAATTTCGAATTGCTACACAACCTCAATCTCAAACTAGGGACATTTACGTCGTCGGGTTGTCTCCCACCACTCCACAACTCAAATTCAAAAGATGCTGTAACGGATTTTGCCAGTTCTTGTTGTTCGTCGTTCGTATTTATTATTTAGCGCAATTATCGCACTAAAAGTAGTGACTCACCCCATTTTCATTCGACCAACCCGTGCAACTCAACACTAACATGTCGCAGTTCAAATTTGTAACGGAAATGAAGAACCTTGTCACCATGGACGGACCTTTAACTAAGGGCCCTCCGCCTCGATGGCAGCGAAAAGGCCAAGAAAACTACCAATCCACCAGCAACTTGAGCATCAACACCTCAAAGAAATCCACCTCCATGACGAAAACCCCGACGAAACTCAACGGAAGCGACTCCTTGAGAACGAAGAAAACCCCGTCAAAGACCCCAAGTAAGAACAAATCGGGAAGTTCGACGACGCCGACACCAAACAAAACGTTGAAGACACCTGTAGCGGATCGGTTTATACCAAATAGAAGCACAAGTAATTTTGATTTGGCGCATTATAAGTTGAATCAGGAAGAGGATACTTCGAACAGTCCTACACAGAAAGAACTGCAAAAGGTCATGTGTGAGAATTTGTATGGGGGCGATATTGACTCGCAGAAAATACTGTCATATAGGGTGAAACCACCATCAGCCCCTGCTGGGTTTCAAAATCCAATGAGAGTGATTTATACACAGACAAAGACTCCTGCTTCAGTTAAGGGCAATAATAGGTATATTCCACATGCACCTGATAGGATTCTGGACGCTCCAGATATTGTGGACGATTATTACTTGAATTTGATGGATTGGAGCTCCGGAAATGTTCTCGCGGTGGCTCTAGGGGCACATGTATATTTATGGAATGCAGGTATTTAGTCATCTTTTTTACAAAAACCAAGCCATTAACCACTTACTTCTCTAGGAACTGGAAATATTGAAGACCTGTTAGAACTACAAGGCAATGACTATGTTTGCTCCTTATCATGGATCCAAGAGGGCGACCATCTCGCCGTGGGCACTACCAACGGAACTGTAGAACTCTGGGATTGCTCTAAAATGAAAAGACTGAGAGTAATGGATGGACACTCAGCCCGTGTGGGCTCTCTTTCCTGGAATTCCTACATCCTTTCCAGTGGTTGCAGAAGTGGCCAAATTATTCACCATGACGTGCGACAAAGAGACCACCTCATTACTACCTTGTCTGGACACACACAAGAAGTCTGTGGTCTCAAGTGGTCCCCTGATGGAAGGTAAAACCCCTAATTCACCTAATCCCCAAATATTAATTGCTTTGTTGCAGATATCTGGCCAGTGGCGGCAATGACAACGTCTTGAACATCTGGCAGGGCGTCACAGGGGGGCACCACACGAATACAGAGCCCCTTCATGTCTTCACAACGCACCAAGCGGCCGTTAAAGCTCTCGCCTGGTGCCCCTGGCAGCCCCACGTGCTGGCCAGTGGTGGAGGCACTGCTGACCGACATATAAGGTTCTGGAACTGCAATATAGGGTCTTGTGTGAATGCAGTTGACACCAGATCTCAAGTTTGCGCTTTGCTATGGAGCTCCAATTATAAAGAGCTTATCTCAGGACATGGCTTTGCTAACAATGAGTTAATTATATGGAAGTATCCAGCTATGACCAAAGTGGCTGAATTGACAGGACACACCGCAAGAGTTCTCCATTTAGCGATGTCGCCTGATGGTAGCACAGTTCTCTCAGCAGGGGCTGATGAAACTCTGAGATTATGGAAATGTTTTGTTAAGGATGTGTCGAAAAGTAAAGGCGCAGGGGTGCAGTTACGAGAGAAACCTAGCGTTTTAAAACAGTGTATTAGATAAGTTTATGTATTGTGATTAAGTTTTGTAAATTATGTGACTACCAATAAAGTATTTTTGGAAAAAACTGATTTTTTGATCGTCCATAACCTCATTTTTTGGTTCACTTCGTAAACTCTGTACATAATTAGTCCAAATACATTTTTCATTCGAAAAATTACGATTAGTTTGGTTTTTTGAATAACTAGATTTTTTGTTTTTTCGTTTTTACCTCGATTTTTTTACTGAAAGAAAGGTTATGTTTACATCCGCACCACGCATGCGCATTACGTTGTGTAACGAATCCTAACCTCCAAAGTGCGTCTACTATTTATTTAACGAAATCAAAAATGGGCTCAAAAAAGAAGAAGCAACAATCAGAAAGCTCCAGTTCGTCGGACTCCGACGGCGAGAGCTCAGATTCCTCAACAGAAAAGCGTTCAAAGCGCAAAAATAAAAAACAAGATTCAGGATCAGAGACAGAAGTGTCCCCAAAGAAAACAAAGTTTGCTTCGAAATCGAAAAAACGGGAGGCTTCGCCGGCCAAAAGCGACGACGAAGAAAACAGGAAGAAGGAAAAGAAGATCAATAAACCGGCAGTGGAAGAGAACGATGATAAATACAGGTAATAAAAAAACAATAAATTCGTACCATTACTGTTGGAATTACAGGAAACGAAGGCGAACGCCGTCACCAGAAAATCGCGACAGGAGGAATAGGGATGATAAGAGGGTGAGAAATGATAGGGGGCGGCACGACGACCGACGATGGCCACCTGAGCACAGATCCTACGATGACCGGTACAAAAACAGACGCCCGGATAACAGGGACAATCAGAATAGGAGAGACAGGAGGGAAAACCGCGACAGAAATAGGCGAGATGACAACAGGAATTACTCAAACAGGGACCGAGACAGAACCAGGTAAAACTTGAATCAAAGTGTGCTGTGCATAAATGTCAAACCTAAAAATTTGCATCAATATAATATTATCTCTAGTATGAAAACAATCACCCAAGTGATGTTTACAACTTCAAACGAAAATATGTATTCTCTGCACAATTTTTAATTAAAATCTATTGATTTTTAATTATTTTAAGTACAAAATAATTTGTTACAAGAGTGCTGTGTTCAGGAATGCCAACCTCACAAGTGTCATTTCAGAGACCGCAGACGCAGCCGCAGCGGTTCCTTTGACCACTCAAATGCAAAATGGGGTAAAAGCGGCGACGGAAAATCCGATAAGAAGGACCCAAAAGAAAAAGAAAAACCGAGTTTTGCCCTCTCTGGGAAACTGACTGAAGAAACCAATACTTATCGTGGGGTTGTTATTAAATATAGCGAACCCCCGGAAGCCCGCAAGCCCAAACGGAGATGGCGTTTGTACCCTTTTAAGGGCGAGAAGGCGCTTCAGACTTTGTATATTCATAGGGAGAGTGCGTATTTAATAGGGCGTGATCGCAAAGTGGTAGATTTACCAGTTGATCACCCTTCTTGTTCCAAGCAACACGCCGCGTTGCAATATCGTTTGGTTCCTTTCACTCGAGATGATGGCAGCACTGGTAGGTATAGTTAGATTTGTGGAATCTGAAGGGTGATTTGAATGGTTTTAGGTAAGAAGGTGCGGCCATATTTAATTGATTTGAATTCGGCGAATGGAACCTATATCAATAACAAGAAGATTGAAGCCAGTAAATATGTGGAATTGTTGGAAAAAGATGTTATTAAATTTGGGTATAGTTCGAGGGAGTATGTGTTGTTGCATGAGAATAGTAAAGATGAGGCGCAAGATGATGATGTGAAACAAGAAGAAGAAACTGTTACTGTTGTAAAAGAGGAGAATTAATTGTGAGTAATTTTTTTATTGTAAATATGGACTCGTTATTTTTATTCATTAGTAAACTGATCGTGTTCATTATGTTCTGATTCATGGATTAACATTGAAAAAATAAAAGTTTTTTATTTATTTATTTTTTATTAAAATGGTCATCACAAAATTACTCTAACCTCGTTTCCTAGTCACTTTTGTTACATATGTACATCTTATGAGTATTTAATTCTAGACAGACAATCTGGTGTTGAACACTACTTAAAATACTGTTTTCAGGCACTTGGGAATTTTACATTACTCTCTGATTGAAAAATACTGACAGTCGACTTAACAATTTACAGTATCAATTTCAAAACATAAATAAACTATACAACAATAAATATATACATAATCAACAATTTACTGTCCGGCGCAATTTTTATGAACTGCCCCGTTCATTTTCACTTTTTTTAGTGTCTTATCTCTAATTTCTGGCACTTTTCCATTACATTGTACCTTCGTTACTTCGCTCGGTATGGACACTATAGAGGAACTACTTTTCGTGCTTTCAGCTAGCATCTGATTGGGTATCTCATAACCGTCGTTAAGGGGCGCTTCCGGCTCATATAACAACTCCAAATATTTTGGAATAGTCGTCGGCGGCTCGGACGCCAAAAACGGCGTTTTCTCCTTACTCGAGTCGTCCTCAATATCACCTGAAAAAATCACACCGTCACCAACAACACAAATCAATAAACCAATAGAAATGAATCGAAAAGTCGAATTTTATCGACATGCATTATTGCATTTACCTGTGTTATAATTTTCATCTCGAAAATACGCTTCATTGGATATACCTTCAAAATCTGGAAAGCATGGCATTCATACTTATTAGTAGAGTCATGCAGATGACGATGAGTTATTTAAAGTGTGACATGCGCATTACACGAGAGTCAGACCGGACTTACATTCTTGGACCGTGCTGATGTACTGTCCCTCGTGAGCCCCAGTCGACGGACTGCGCAGTTTCTGGAAATGTAAGTTCTCGAGGACGTCCAGACAATATTTGAACGTCGGCCGCTTCTCCGCTTCGAATTCCCAACATTTCAGCATTAGGTTGTGTCTGGAAATGTTTCAGTTAACGTAGAAAATCACAATTTGATTTAATAAACTTACAAAGTTTCTGGGCAATCGATGGGTTTCCCTAGTCTCCCACCACGTCTGACATAGTGCAGCACTTCTAGGTTATTCCGAGCGGGATAAGGTTGCTGCCCTAGCGTCATTATCTCCCACAACAGTACACCGAAAGCCCAAACGTCTGATTGGCTGGTGAAAACGCCATCTACAAGCGACTCTGGCGCCATCCAGCGCACAGGCAACAAACCCTCCCCTTCCTTCCTGTAGTAGTCATTCTTATAAATGTCTCTCGCTAAACCGAAGTCTCCTATTTTCACAATCCGATCTGAGTCTGTAGACGAGACTAAGCAGTTTCGACAAGCCAAGTCCCTATGAACAAAATGCATCTCCTCGAGGTAGCGACAGCCCTTGGCGACATCTACACACATCTTCAGAAGCTCGATAAGAGTTAAAGTGGGTGTTTCGTTCTGGAACGATTTTATAAATTAAGTGGTTACGACATAACGGAATACTCACATTTATGTTTCTAGAGGACCTCAAATACGTCAATAAATCACCCCCTTGCATCAACTCCATGATTATGAAGTGGGGGTCGTTGTCCAAACAAACCCCCAGTAGTTGGAGGATGTGTTCATGCTTGAAGTTACTCATCAGTTGAGCTTCTTGTAGGAACTCGGTTTTTTCTTGATCGGTTGCCCCTTTACGCAAAGTCTGTGATAAAGAGACAGTTAAATCGTGAATATGGCTCGCTGCGCTCGCCTACCTTGACCGCGACTTTCGTTTCACCACTAGTGTTTGAAATTCCTCTAGCTTTACCTTCGAAGACTTCTCCAAAGGCGCCGCTACCAAGGAATTTGGTCAAAGTGATTTGGTCCCTGAAAAAATGAACAAGTGTGATTTTATACGAAAAAACAGACATAAATACCTTCGGATGTGTGGCAGAAGCGTCAGTTCGTCGCTGCTGGGCTGCGTCGAAACGTAAAGAACATTAGTGTTGTGAATCCCCCGTCTTGGTAGTTCTCTCAATGTTGCCAACTCAACGTCGGGCCCTCTGGGGATAGAAACCACTTGAACCTTCTTCGGCTTACCCCATTTCCCTACCAATCAAACGATCACCAACTTCCTCAATTTTTATTAGAATCAGACTTACGACACACAATACAGAGAAGTATTGCTAAAAACACGGACACAGGGAGACAAATAGCCACAACGATGAGCGTCATGGGGCTCTGCTTTTCAGCCATTCGGGCCGCTTCGTTTAAATCAAACGCGGTACTAACTTCACTGGGGTAGCTCCATCCGTACGCGTTTAACGCTAAAGCACGAAATTCGTACTTATGTTTATCGCTCAAACCGTCGATTATCCAGGAAGTTTCAGTCCCGTTGTAAAAAGGTTGCCATTCGTGCTCTTCCTCTTCGATTGACGGCGCTGTGTGAAAATACGCGGTCCGATTGGTGCTACGTTTCGTTCTGTAGATAGGCAATTCGAGACCTTCTAGTTTGTACAGTTCTACAGGTGCCCCGTTGTCTTTAGACGCCTCCCACCAGACTTTATAGATGTTGGGTTTGACGTTCTGGATCTTGGGAGTTCCAGGAGGGGACGGTTTATCTCCTACGAAACAACAATCCGCACGACTGCGCCATTTTCGTGTTCAACTTACCTAGAGTTTCATACGTGAATCGCGAATCTGGGGGCCAGATGTACTCCTCAGGGTAGTTTTCGAAGTAGAGACTTAACCTAAATTTGTACTGGGTTTTGGGCTTGAGGTTTTCTTTCACTATGAGTACCCCGTCGGTACTAGTTTCGAGAATCACGTTCTCCCACTCGTTTGATGTGAGTGGGGAGAACTGTACGCTGTAATTCTCGACGTGCGGATGCACTTCCCATGTCAGTCTTAAAACATACGCACTCTTATTCATTAGAACTAAATCACTGGGTTCGGGGTAAGTGTTAATTTGTACTTTTTCACTATCACTGGAGGTTTCATTGGTCTCGCTGTAGGCGCGCACCCAAATCATGTAAGTCTCGTTTGGGGACAACCTATTGAGAATGGTAGTCAGAATTTGGGTGGAGTTTGGGGAGAATTGTTGTTCGACGTTTGGTTGTTCCTTTTGGCGTACCCCGGAGAGAATGCGTTCGGTTTGCCAGTAAATTTCGTAGTGAACCAAGGCTCCGTTGAATTGTTGAGGGGGCCACCAGGTTACTTTAGCCGTTGTAGGGTTGAGGACAGTTGCCGTAACGTTTTGGGGTTGAGAAGGGGCTGAAATAAACATACTTACTTAGATGGAATAAAATTTTTTTTTAAAAATACCTCCGACAGCGGTCTGGAAGGCCACAGAAGGCCCCACCACAACTTGCTCATCATCCATGTAGTAGTTACTAACAGCCAACGCAACTTGGTAGTTCGTGAAAGGCTTCAAATTCTGTAATGTGTACTCTTTCTCAAAGGTGACAGAAACGTTGCAACCCAAATCACACGAAGTACTATCATCATGCTGCTTGTAGTAGATCCGGTACTCAACCGTGGGCATAGAGGTGTGTTCACAAGCGTGACGTACCTCTGGCATCCTCAACGTCAACGAATTGGAAGTTCTGCGTTTCAGTTTCACCCTAAACTCTCTATTTTGTTTAGGTTTGAGACACTCCTTCGGGGGAAAGGGTTGCACGTGTGGTCCAAAAATAACAACGTCGTGAACATTGGCCTTTTTCGCTACCGCATTGGTCTCGTTTTTCTTCAAAGCGTAAAGCGACCCTTGACTCGTCCAATACAAAGTTCCAAAGTCGGACTTGATCCGTTCCAAAGGAAGCGTGACACCTACGCTATTATTGGCAACGACATCACACAAACAACCATCTCTATCCGCTGAAACGATATTCTGAGACGACGAATCGACGAAAATCAACATGGGTTTAGACTCAGTTGAGTGATCCAAGGTGTAGGTGTCTTCGATTGCACCCACTGGACAATTGCACGACCTTTTGCTACGTCCTTTTTTGAAAAACTCGCGCCGATTAGTACCGTCGGTGTTACAAACCATGAGTTTAGATTTCTCGACCCAGTAGAGTTTTCTAGTGTAGGGGCTAACCTCAACCTTGCTGATTTTTCCAGCCACACAAAACACTTTCTTCGTTTTACCCACGCCTCTATAGTTTAAGTCAAGTTTGAACACGCAGGAGTCTTCGTTCTCGCTTTGGACGTAATAGAGACTTCTTTCGAGCCAATCCACCGTCAAACTGGTGGCACTTTTCTTCAAATCGACGATTTGGCTTTTGTTGAAAGTGTCCATGTCGAAGACCATGAGCGAATTCCACTGGTCGATCCAGAACAACTTGGATTCTTTGATGGAGTACCCGATTTCAGTCGGAGTGGTGATGCCTTGAAGAAGCGACCGGTTGGTGTTGGAATCGATGTCTTGGATGAAGATGGAGTCCGAAGAGGCAATCAGGAGACGTGGAAGCGGCGATTCTTTGCTCGAGTTGACTGAAATCGTGGACGATAAGTCGCCATCCCGGACTTCGTTGTACGCTTGGACCTGGAAGATGTATTAGAACCGGAAATCGTGGAGAGGATTGGCTTACATTGAAGTGGTAGATCGGGCCTTGGTTTAGGGATTTTAGCTCGATTTGGAGATCTTTTGCGTCTTTGACTACGTCGTCACACAAATCTATGCGATCTGAGTCTTGCAAGTACCAACAGTGGACTTTGTAGCCGTTGATTACCCCATTGGGGTACAGTGGAGGGTCCCAGCGTACCGTGATTGTTACGTTGTTGTCGTTACTAACGTTGTGAGAGTGCGTGACGTAGGCCCGCAGGTTCCTGGGTACCGAAGGAGTGGACGCTGGCGAGTACACGTTGGCACGAATTTGAGGCGAAGTACCCCAGTACGTAAAAGCTCTAATCGATACATGCAACTTGGTGAAAGGTGCCACGGTTTGCCAGAATTTGATGGTCGGTTTGTTCGTGATTATCTACAAAAAAATGGTAAAATGGTACCAATGGGGGTGACTGACGTACAGTTGAGTCGTTCCGCGACAGGCTGTCGATGCTCACTTCGTAGAAAACTTCTCCGTAGTTAACATTATTGACAGGGTCCCACGTGACGTTGAAGGAATTCGACGGCCCGACTACTCTAACAGAGCTCCGGTCCACCATTTCAGGAATAACGATTATAGGTTCAGCTTGAGAATCTACAACTTTTACTTTAGTGTCAATGAGTGAAGTGGTACCGCTTACCTGGCATCACGTGAAGGGAAGAATCGACGACGTACACTAGGGTCAGGTCAGACATGCTTTTGCCACTAATGGTAGCAATATTCTTCCCTTGTAAATCACTAATAGCGGCATTCTTATCATCCTGTAACCACAGTAGCCGCTTATGGAAGTAGCAAAGCGGTGCTTGGGTGTTGGGTTTCTGCAAACTTGATATTTTCTCGACTGTGATGGTGTTATAGTACCCTGCCATCGGGGCTCTGAATAAATTTGAGCCTTCTGACCCTCGCACTATCCAGTAGACGTATTTATTGTTAATATCGAGGGTTAAACCCATGACTTGTCGTCCCGAGAAAAGTTGTACCGGGTGGTACTCGATGGGATTGGCGCCGTTTAAATGGGCACAACGTACTGCGAACCCTGTGGACCAGTACAGGTACGCCTTGACCGAATCAATGTTGAGTTCTTTGGCGAGAGTGAGAATGGGGAGGGGTTCTTGTTGCGTGCCGTTTAAATTGCCGCGGATGATCTAAACAGTGTGTGAGTAGTACCGAGTGAGTTAGTACGATGGTACTTACCATCTGTCGCTTGGGGTTCGACCAATACAGTTTCATTCCAATCCAGTCAACCGCTATACTTCCGACGGAGTCAACGTCAATCAACTGACCTTGATTGTGTGTCTCGGTGTTGTACCACCACACGTGCGAGTCATTCGTCACCAAATAAACCTGTTCTTTGTACCACGTCATATCCACGAAGTAGAAATTCTTCATGTGACTCTTGTGGATCAAAGTTTCTACATTCTCCCCAGTAGCGTCCGACTTCAGCAACCCTTTCGCCGCCGACCAGTAAATCACGGGATTTTCAACTCTACTCAGCGTCACTCCACGGAACTCCGATGACCACGGCCCCTTCCCCGACTTCGTAAACGCCGCCACCTTAATCACATACTCCGTGTTTTCCTTCAACTCCGAAATCTTGTACGACGTCGTGTTAACCGTCTTATGCAGTACGAACTTCTCCGAGTCCACTTCTTTAATCGCCACTTCGTACGACCAGTTCTGCCACGCCCCTTTCCCTTGAATCCCCAGAAGATGCGGCGGCTGCCACGTCACCTTCGCCACACTACTCCCAAAAATCGCCTGGACGTTCGTCGGAGGGTTCACCGGACTCGGAATGGGCTGCGAACTCGTCAAATTAATGATGACTTTCTTGTACGATCGTGCCGAAAGATCCGGGTACGAATTGTGGAAGTAGTCGGAGTTGTGGTACTCCTCGAAAAAGATGTCGTCGCCGTCGGTCCAGTAGAATTTCTTGTTTGCGGTGGCTAAAGAGACGACGTTTTTGAGCTTGGAGGTGATGACGTTGGGGCGGACGTTGATGACTTCTTTGCTGGAAGGAGAAGGTTAGTGGTGTTTAGAGGCGGTAGTGAGGTGGTACCCGTCCAAGGAGACCGAGTTGATGGTTTTTTGGCGTTCGTTTGCCACGAATAGGCGGAAGTTGGTGTGGTCGACTGTGAAAGCCCCTAGGTTGCGGTCTTGGTAGATGAGTACGGGTCGTACGTCGTGTTTGATCCCGTTGCTTACGTCGGAGATGTCTAGGCGGTAGATGCCGGCGCCGTGGTCGCGGATCGCCCAAAATAAGTACCTGAGGATGGGTAATATAGTATGACTAGTGGGTAAGTAGTGGTACTTACCCATTGTATGGGTCCACTTCGACGTTGTAGGGTTCCGTTCTGAGACCTGCCACAGCAATCGTCAACCCTCTACCGCCTAAGTCGCATCTAGCAATCTGCCAAATTCGCTGTTGTTGGATCTTCACCTCCCCCAAAATGTATAACTGATCGTTCAACCAATCAACCGATAACTCCAAAGGGGTGAAATTAATTTGGACCGGGGTCAGAATATACGTGATATTGTTATGTTGGTTCCTCGACAGAGGCATCTTCATTATGTGCCCCCCAGAATCCGAAATGAAGAGGAGTTTTTTGCTTATGTGTATCCCGATTCCTTTGATCGTCATTAAGGTACTGTACAGTATTTCGGGTTCGTCTATAATGTTGGTCCCTTGTTTGATTACTCCGTGTTCGGTACCAAATATGAGCACGGGTTGTTGGGTGTCTTTGGCTGTTGGAAAATTTTAGTATGCGGGTGTACAAGAACGAAGGTCGTACCTAAGGGTTCAGAAGGTGTCGACACTGTTACTTTAGCGGAAGGGCCTGACCCGACTCCGTTTCTCATTTTAATGGATATGGTGTAGTTCCGAGAAGGTTGTAAGTTTCGGAACATGTAGAAGTTGCTCTCGGCAGGTATGTCCTGTTTGGGGGTTTAGTTAGACAGAGTGTCTTGGTAATATTTGGATCAGCGATGGTACTAAATTTTCGAAAAGGGTACGACCCTTGATGTCTTAGCACCATCACTGATTTAATAAACGAATCAAGAAGCAAGTTAAAGCAGGTAGCCCAAGAGGTCCATGCGGATTAGTCAGACAGTTAAAGTTATAAACAAAGAAGGAAGAAGAGGATATCTTCTTTCTACTACAAAGTCAGCAGAATTCTTGTCAAAGTTTATCAAGTTTCGCGCAGTCAAAACAAAGATGCGAAGCGAAAACAACCATAGTTGGAAAAATAGAAAAAAATTGCAATTAAAATAGTCACACCTTGACTTCCGGCGGTACCACCGCATCGGGTTGATTATCGGTAATCTGGAGCACATAGGAAAGGAGTGGACCGTGCGGGAAGGGACCAGGTTCCCAGCTCACACTAATACGTGTGGAATCAATGGGAGCCACTCGTACACTACTCGGAGGAGAAACCGGGATTCCTGAAGCGAGCGTACTTATGACAACACTGGGATTCGACACGATGGAGTTCTCCTGGTGGTGGCCCAGAATCAACACGATCCGAAACTGGAAGCCATAGTTAGTACTTGGTCAAACAACCAAACAGTACTCACTCTATATTTCGTGTACGGCTGCAAGTTCTCCACGAGTACCACCGTCCCGTCGTGACTCCACGTGGCGTTCCTGCAGTAGTGCCACGTGGCTGTTAACTCCTCGTACCGCCACTGGACATGCTGCACCAGTCCCTCCCGCCTAGCTTCCGAAAAGTTCCACTCCAGCTTGAGCGACGTAGCGTTCAAAGAGTCGGCCACGAGAGCTGGAGCTGGAGGGGTCAGAAGCTTCGACTTTAGCTGCGAGAAGTACTTGGTCATGGCGTCGTTGCACCCCATGACGCAGTAGAGCTCCTTGGGGGTGAGGCGGTCCATGGAGCCGTTCTGGAAGCACGTGTAGAAATTTGGGGGGTTAGTGGTCGGTGGTACTTACGCAGACTTTTTGGCAGGAGGAGTTGAGGGCGGTGTGCCATAGTTTGCAGCCTTTATTGCACTGGAAAAAAAACATGTGTTGAGTAAAGTCGAAGAAGGGTTTTTGGGTGCGGGAGGATGTCGGATGACCGGATGGTGTGTTGGATAAAGATTGGTCTATTGGTGTCAGTGCGAACAAATTAGAGTCTATAGGCGTGTGACACTTTTTAATATAGTAGCGGATGCGGTAATTAGTTTGTATGGATCAAAACAAAATGTGCATGAAGTGACCGTTTCCCAGAGTGGATGAGTAAGGGAGAGTTTGTGGTTTTAAATGAGATTTGTGTGTTTTTTGTTTTTTGAACGGTGGCTGACGGAAGTACCGTAATAGACTTATTTTGACGGATGTTGAGTGGCTTTGTTTGAAGGGGTTTAGCAATTGTGGAATTTGGAAATGTAGTTTTTATTAGCAGGTAATTCCCAAATTATCGTTTACCTTGAAATTTTAGACTTTTTTAAGGTTATAATAAACTATACTAATAGTAAATCCCCACTTAAGTATACCTAGATATTCTCACTAAAAAAATTATGACGTCAACTCAAAATATTGTTACTTAATTTCTCTTTAAATGTAAGTTGAGCTTTCTCAAGCTGTGGTTTAATAATCCATCCCTACTTTTAAGTCTATGAACCTAGAAAAAATATTGTGTAGAATGAAAATTAAGGATTTACTAGCTAGGAAACTACAAAAGAGATTTTAGAAAAGACATTAAGATTGATTTAAACATTATACAACTCTTTTTTTTCAAGTATAGAAGCATATGTTGCACATTTTAAATAAGATTTGTTTAGTAAAATGTTGAGGTTACGTCATCAAACAGAATAAAGAAAAACAAAAAAAAAAAAGACCAAAAAAGGCAAATAAAAAAAGTGACAAAAAAGCAAGGAAAATGACAAAAAAATGACAATAAAGAAATGGGAGTCAAAAAAGCTATAAAAACAGGCGAGGATAAAAAAGATAGAAAAGAAGCGATAAAAAAGGACTCTGGATAAAGCAAGAAAAAATGGATGACCTTATAATGCGACAAAAATAAAAGCGGTAAAAAAAGACGACAAAAAAGCCAACAAAAGTGACAAAAAAAGGCTATAAAAAAATCTCACTGAAAACAAGAGTCAAGAAAAACTGCAAAAAATGCAGCGATAAAATGTGTCCTAAAAAAGGTAGATCACAAAGAAAGCTGGTAGACAAAAAAAGTCGGGATAAAAAAGGCGACAAAAAAAATACCAAAGAAAAGCGACAAAAAGGCGATCAAAATATCACAGAAAAAGTAATAAAAAAGACACTAAAAATGGAGTAAAAAAGCTATAACAAAACACCAAAAAAAGCGGGGCACAACAGGTGGGACAAAAGGAGGGCAAAAAGGGGACAAAAAAGAAAAAGTGACAAAAAGGCAACAAATAATGACAAAAAAAAAGAGAGTTAAAAAAAGCTACAAGAAAAATGCGAAGATAAAAACGATAATAAAAAAGTTAACAAAACGTGACAAAAAAAAGATACCAAAGAAGCTATAAAAAAAAAGATGAACGAACAAAAAAGGTGTTAAAAATGTTGCTCAAAAAAAGGCATGGCGGAAGAATGGGAGGCAAGGAAAGAAAAACAAGAAAAAGCGGCAAAAAAAGTAACTCTAAAAAAAGTGAATCAAGAAAGCTGCAATAAAAATGTGTAGACAAAAAGCGATAAAAAGGGGCCAAAAATAAGAACGGAGGACTAAAAACGACAAAAATACGACTAAGAAAAGTGGCTTAAATAGCGACAAACAAAAAATGTCCAAAGAAAAGCGACAAAAAAATCGATCAAAACACGACAGAAAAAGTTAAAAAAAATACACTAAAATAAAAATGTTAAATTGTTGCCCCCCCCCCCCCCCAAAAAAAAGCGGGGGACAAGACGTGGGACAAAAATAAGGGGCAAAAGGAGGGCAAAAAGAGGACAAAAAGAGAAATAACTACGAAAAAACAACTGAAGACAAGGTAAGCAAAAAACGACAAAAAAGATGTCTCAAGAAAAGCAACAAAAAAGTGAAAACAAAGATAACAAAAAAAGCGAAAAAAAGTGATAAAAAAAAGGTGAGGATAAAAAAGACAAAAGACAACAAAAAAATTCAACAAGAAAGTGACAAAGAAAGGCACCAAATAAAAATACCAAAGAAGTTACAAAAAAATTGCCGAAGAAAAAATGTGTTAAAAATGTTACTCAAAAAAAGACGTGGGGCAAAGAAGGGAATATAAAATTTCAAAAAAGTGACCAAAAAAAAGGGGCGACAAAAAAGATAACCAAACAAAAGTAAAAGACAATAACATTAAAAAAAGGGAAAAGCTGCAATAAAAATGAGAAGAGAAAACAAATACAAAAGAAGTTACAAAAAAGGTTACTGAAAATAGAGCAGTAAAAAAGTATTACCAAAAACAAATGCGACAAAAAAAAACGTAAAAAAGGGCACAAAAAAGTCAACAAAAAAAGAGGGAAAAACAAAAAGAAGTCAAAAAACGACAAAAAAGGCGATAACAAAGGATCAGAAATAAGAAGGGAGAATAAAAAAAAAGAAAGTGACCCAAAAAATGACAAAAAATACGACCAAGAAAGCAGCTGAAAAAGCGACAAACAAAAGATGTCCTAAGAAAAGAGACAAAAAAGAGATCAAAATACGACACGAGTCAGAAAAAGACACTAAAAGTGGAATAAACAATCTATAACAAACCGTTAAAATACTGTCCAAAAAAAAAGCGGGGGACAAGAGGTGGGGTAAAAATGGGGGACAAAAGGAGGGCAAAAGGGGGACAAAAAAAGAAATAACTACAAAAAAAATAAGTAAAAAAAGCGACAAAAAAGTGAAAACAAAGACAACAAAAGAGCGACAAAAAATGACCAAAAAAAAGGGAGTTAGAAAAAAGCTACAAGAAAAAAGGTGAGGATAAAAAAGACAACAAAAAAGTCAACAAAACGTGACAAAAAAAAATTCAACAAAAAAAGTGACATAAAAAAAGGTACCAAAAAAAAAATCTCACTAAAAAAAAGAGTCAAGAAAATCTGCAAAAGAGGCAGCAGTAAAATGTGTACCAAAAAAGGTAGATCACAAAGGAAATGGGAGACAAAAAAAGTTGGAACAAAAAAAGACGATAAAAAAAGATACTAAGGAAGCGACAAAAAAGAGACTTAAAACAAAGGGACAAAAAGCGACCAAAATACGACAGAAAAAGTCATAAAAAAGACACTAAAAATGGAGTAAAAATGCTATAACAAAACATTAACATGCTGCCCAAAAAAAAGGGGGAAAAAGACCAATAAGTACAAAAACCAAACAAGAAAAACGACAGAAAAAAAAAGATGTCTAAATGGATAGCAACAAAAATGTGAAACCAAAAATGACAAAAAAAAAGCAAAAAAAGTGACAAAAAAATAACCTTTAAAAGAAGGGAATCAAGAAAGCTGCAATAAAAATGAGAAGAGAAAAAAATACAAAAGAAGTGACAAAAAAGATTACTGAAAAAAGAGCAGTAAAAAAGTACATATTACCAAAAACAAATGCGACAAAAAAAAGCCGTAAAAAAGGGCACAAAAAAGGACCCAAAAAAAAGGAAAACCAAAAAGAAGTCAAAAAACTACAAAAAATACGACCAAGAAAGGCAGCTTAAAAAGCGACAAACAAAAGATGTTTAAAGAAAAGCAACAAAAAAAGTGAAAAGAGATGACAAAAGAGCTACAAAAAATGACAAAAAAAAGAGGGAGTTGAAAAAAGCTACAAGAAAAAGGCGAAGACAAAAAAGTCAACAAAACGTGACAAAAAAAAATCAATAAAAAAGTGTCAAAAACAAAGGCACCAAAAAAATCTCACTGAAAAAAGAATAAAGAAAATCTGCAAAAAAGGCAGAGATGAAATGTACCAAAAAAGGTAGATCACAAAGGAAGCTGGGAGACAAAAAAAAGGGAGACTTAAAACAAAGCGACAAAAAGCGATCAAATACGACAGAAAAAATCATAAAAAAGACACAGTGTAAAAACGATATAACAAAACGTGTTGCCAAAAAATGGGGGGGGGGGAGAAGAGGTGAGGCAAAAAAGGGGGACAAAAGGAGGACAACAGGGGGGAAAAAGAAAAATAACTACAAAAAACAAGCAGAAAAAAGTAAGTAAAAATACGACAAAAAAGATGTCTAAAGGAAAGCAACAAAAAAGTGAAAACAAAAATGACAAAAAAATGATAAAAAAAGGAGTTAAAAAAACTGCAATAAAAAAGCTAGGATAAAAAAAACCAATAAAAAGTCAACAAAACGTGACAAAAAAAATCAACAAAAAAACATGACAAAAAAAATACCAAAGAAGTACAAAAAAAAGATGACCGAGGAAAAAAAGTGTTAAAAATGTAGTTCAAAAAAAGCGTGGGTGAAGAATCGGGCACAAAAAAGGGAAAAGGGAGAGGACAAAGAAAAGAACATAAAAAGGAACATAAAATTACAAAAAAGCGACAAAAAAGGGGCGACAAAAAAAAGATGACCAAAGAAAGGCCAGCAAACGCGACAAAAAAAATAACATTAAAAAAAGAGTCAAGAAAGCTGCAATAAAAATGTGAGGACAAAAAAAGATACAAAAGAAGCGACAAAAAAAAGGCTACTGAAAAAAAACAACAAAAAAAAGATTACCAAAAACCAATGCGACAAAAAAAAAGCGGTAACAAAAGATTACAAAAAGTCAACAAAAAAAAAGGGGACAAAAAAAAAGTAGCAAAAAACCTACAAAAAAGGCGATAAAATCGGCCAAAAATAAGAACGGAAGGCAAAAAAAGTGACAAAAAGCGATAAAAAAAATACCACCAAGGAAGGTGGCTCAAAAACCGACAAACAAAACATGTCCAAAGAAAAAATCGACAAAAACCCGAGAAAAGTAAGAGAAAAATGTTACGAAAAATGATTTCAAAAACTACAAAAATGCCACAACCGCATTAAAAACCGATAAAAATTATTACGACAAAAAATAGGATAAAAAAAGACGATAAAAATATGACTTCAATAAAATAGTGTAATAAA